GCCCCTCATTACTATCTAACTGTTAAATGTTAACAAAACATTTCAAAATCAACATGCATAAAACCAACTCATTACATTTCCTCTATACCCATGCCTAAGGGGCAGCTAGGTGATAGAGTGGGTAGAACTCCAGGACCTGGAGTCAGGAACACCTGAGTTCAAATCCAGCCTCAGATACTTACTAGCTGTGTGACCCTGGGCAAGTCACTGAATCTGTCTCAGCCTCAGTTTACTCATCTGTAAAACAGGGATAATAATAGCATCTACCTGCAAGGACTGTTGTGAAAACAAAATGAGACAATCGCAAAATACTTCACAAACCTTAAAGTGCCATATGAGTATGCTATTGTTAATTATTCCTCCAAACTTCCCCATTCCTACTGAAGGCATCACCATCCTTCTACTCACCCAGGTTTATAAACTTGGATTCATCCTTTACTCTTCCTCCTCTCCCCCCTCCCATACCCAAACAATTGTCACATCTTGTCAATTCTACCTTCACAACATCTCTCAAATCAGACACTTGTCTTCACTCAGGAGGCTTCATCACCTCTCATCTGTACTTTGGTATTAGCCTCCTGGTTGTTCTTCCTGCTTCTAGCCTCTTTCCTCTCCAGCCCATCCTCCACACTGCTGCTGAATTGACATTCTTAAAACACAAATCTGACCATGTCATTTTCAATGACTCTATTTCCTTAAGGGTAAACTAAAAAATTCCTCTGTTGTTGTTCAGTTGTGTCAAACTCTTTGTGACCCCATTTGGGGTTGTCTTGGCAAAGATACTGGAATGGTTTGCCATTTCCTTTCCCAGTTCATTTTTACAGATAAGGAGGCAAACAGAGTTAAGTGACTTGCCCAGGGTCATACAGCTAGTAAGTGTCTGAGGCTGGATTTGAACTCACATCTTCCTGACTCCAGGCTCAATGTTCTATCCACTGAGCCACCTAGCTGCCTCTTAGGCATGGGTATAGGGGGAAATGTATTGAGTTCAGTTTTATACATACTGATTTTGAGATGTTTTGTAAATGTTTAACAGTCAAATGGTAATGAGGGGCTAAAATTCAGAAGAAAGAAATTCTTCTACCTAGCATTTAAAGCCCTCCACAATCTGGCTTCCACGTACTCTTCTTGACTTGTTTCATCTAACTCCCATCCATATACTCTCCATTTCAGTCCAACAGACCTGTTGGTTGTTTCCCATACAAAGCATTCTGCCTTCCTCAGCACCTTTATGTGAGTGGTCCCTCACAACTATAATGCCCTCCCTACTCTCTTCTGCCTAAAAGAATCCCTAGCTACCTTCATAGCACAGCTCACATGTCACCTCCTACATGGGGCCTTTCCTTACCCCATTTATTAGTTTATTAGTATTCTCTACCTCTTAAAGTCACTTTGTGGAAACCAACACTATGATAAGACAATGTAAGAGGAAAAAACAAATTAAAAAAACCCTAATTGAAACTGAATGCTGAACTTCCAGCTAAGATGGCTGCCTGAACAGGAAATACCCATCCAGCAATGACATGCTTCTTCCAATGAAAATCCTAAAGTTTGCCCCAGACTGAATAATGATCAAGAAATCCAATGAGAAACTATATTAGACACTGCCAAGAAGGTGGAGTAGTAGTAAGAAGTACAACTGAGTTCTGCCCTACCCCCTACCACCTCCAAATAGAACCAGAAAATTCACAAGTCAGAGTTCTGATCCAGAAATCCAAGAAAGAATCACAGTGAGTCATTTTTCCCACCTAGGACAGCATTGGAAGACAGGCAGAAAGGTCTTCAAGAAAGGCCACTGAAGATTAAATCTAGACAGAAATGGGCTTACAGAACATTCCAATGCAAGGAAAGGTTATGCACCAGGGCAAGAGGTGGTCCCAAAACAGCACAAAGGGGCCTGACCTTGTACAGGGTACAGGAATAGATACCAGCTGAGTAGGTCTGTAGTTCCGTACCTAATTCTGGGTCACAGATAGAAGGAGGGGATTTGTGCTTTGGCGAGATATTCCAGGATGAGGTTAGGGTCCAGGCACCTAAGCTATGTACCAAGTAAGAATCAAGTTCAGGAGTAGTCATTCAGTCAACTCTATTAAGCAGCTACTACGTGCCAGGCACTATGCTATAAACACTGAGGATCCAAAGAAAACAAATAGTCCCTGCTCTCAAGGAGCTCACAGTCTGATGGGAAGCAAGGAGCAGCTGTGTGATTCTGACCACGGGAGTGGAGCAGGGTCTCAGTTTTAAGCTCTGGCTCAGTCTGAAGCCTGTAGTGGAATAACCAGGGAAGAAATCCCAGATTAAAGTAGAACTTGCAGATCTGTCCCTCCGAACCAGTAAAGCTTTCCGGTTGTCTGATAGCAGCTGAGTCCAGTAGCAGTTTATGGAAACTCCAGCTAGGGGCAAGTTCACAATTATGAAGTTTAGACCCAAACCTAGGTCAAGAACTTGCAAATTTCCTACTTGGAGTATAGTGATTGCCCTGCATCAAACTATTTGGGGTGCACGGAAAGTTTATAGGTCCCAGCCTAAGCTGTCCCTGATCTTGGAATAGCTCAACACTCCCAAGAAAGCAGCAGCATGAATCTAGAATACACATCAGCCTAGACTGGCCCTAACATAAAGTTTGAAATCAAAAAGTGGGCTAGAAGAATGGACAAACAAAAATAGAATCCCACCATAAAAAGCTATTATGGTGACAAGTATGCTCAAAACATAAACCTGAAAGAAGAGAAAAGCAAAGCCTCAAAGAAAACAAGTTTAACTAGAATTCCTGAAAGAGATAAAGCTAAAGTTGAAAAAAAAAAGTAAAAGTTAAAAATGTTTTTATAAGTGAAATGAAAGTCTAGAAGAAAAAATTTGGAAAAGAAATGAGAGTTATGGGAGAAAGACTTGGAAAGGGCTGGGAGCAAGAGGTATAAAACCTTGCCCAAGCATCAAATTCCCTGAAAATTAGAATGGAACAAATAGAAGATAATAACTCTGTGAGACAAGAAGAAAGAAAGTGAAAAGACTAAAAAAGAAGAAGAAAAAGACAATATTGGTACAGTACCTTACAGTAAAAACAACTGCCCTGGAAAATGTTGAGGAAAGATGATTTAAGAATCATTGGACTACCTAAAAGCCATGACCTAAATAAAAGCCTGGACATCAAAATTTTAAAAATCTTACACAAAGCTGGCCAGATCTCTTAGAATCAAAGGGCAAGGTGGAAATAAAAGAATCCACTGATCATCTTATGAAAGAAATTCCCCAAATGAAAACTCCCAGAAACAGGATAGCCAAAAGCTGGACTTTCCAGAAAGTCAGAATATCACATTTTTGATGTGTTGGTTAGTTTTGCTGACCTGTTTTCTGCTTTTTATTCTTTGTAATATGGGGTGGCTCTCTGGAAAGGGAAGGGGGAAGGGCATAGTGGGAAATGAAATCAATTAGCATTATAGCTAGCAAGTGTGGATTATATGAAAACAAAAGCAAGCAAAAAAAGTATTAAAAAAAAACCAAACCATACCACTACCACCAAAATGCTTCAGAACTTTGATCAACACAGTGACCAATCATGACTCCAGAGGACTGATGATGAAACAGGCCTCCCTCTAAACTGAAAGTTACCAGACAGGTTTCAAATGAGTCATGAGTTGCCAATGTGTTGATTTGTTCATTACAGGGGAGTTGGAGGAATGGAGAATCATTGGAAAGGAAGTGATAGCAATGTAAAAAAAAAAAAAAAACTTTATTAAGTTACTTGTGTACTTGTGCGAAATATGGCTGTATTCCAGGGGCGCGCTGAAGCTAGTTGAACAAGCTGGAGAGCCAATTGTTCAGTTTTCAGGGTGAGCATTTACATCTTGGAAATAGGCAAACGCTATAAAATCAGGTGCTGGTTTATTATTTTTTGATTGTCTATGCTTAAGAAAGTGATGGAGAAAATATTAATAATATAGATTGAACTTTAAAATGTCAGGTCATTTTTTTTCCCCTAGGAGAGTAGTTTGTTAAAAGCATTTACCAGTACATTTCTGACTGTATCCCACCAGAACAAGGTAATTTCCTTGAGGACTGATATTGTTTCATTTTTGCCTTTGTATCTATTCCCTGTGCCTAGCACAAGATCAATGTGTTGACTTTAATTAGTAAAGGTTTGCTGAGCTGAATTGAAACAGATGTGGTGCTGTGCGACTCCTCAGAGGAGAGATCATTTAATCCAACCCAGCTTTTATAGATGAGGAAAAGGATGCTCAGAAGGGTTGACTTCCCCAAGGTCATTTGGCAGAGCCAGTATTTCAACTCGGATACTGCGACTCTAAATTCATCGATCTTCTACAAGAAGAAAAGGGTCGATTACTCCCTGCTAGAGACCTCGAGGAAGGTTCCTGGAGGAGTTTAGAGGACAGGATGATGGAGAGAGGGATCATGATAGATGACTTTAAGTATTTGAAAGGCTTTCTAGTGGAAGAAAGGTTAGACGTGTCTGCTTGTCAAGGGATAGCTGGGGTAGTGGGTTCAAGTGGCGAGGAGGCAGATTTAAGCTTGATGTAACAATCAGAGCTACCCAAAAGAGAATGGGTCTACGTTAGTAGATAGTATGCTCCCCATCCAGGGAGTTATTCAAGTGGAGGCCAGATGATCACTTGTCAGGGATATAGTAGAAGGGAATTCCTATCAAGGTATAGACAAATGGATGAGTACGGTCTCTTCCAGCTGTGAGATTTGGTGACCTCCTGGCGACCCCCTCCCCTCCGAAGCCCTAGCCCAGATCAGAGCACCTTGGATGGGAGGGACGGGGATGAGGGGAGAAATGGGGGGAAATTGCCCTGTGCCCGCCTCCCTGCCCCCATGACGCTTCTGATTGGCTCTTATCTAGGCCAGGGCTGCCGGAGCTGCGGATTGGCTCGGGAGCCTGCCCATCCCCAAACTGTGTTCTTTCTCCCCCCCCCCACTCCTCCCACCCGGGAGGGATTTAAAGGGCCTAGGCGCTCTCTATGGCTACGGGATGCGAGCGCGTTGAGCGCTGCGAGCCCCGAGCCCCCAGAACCCCCGCGACCCCAGCCGGGCAGCGGGACAGGGAGAAGCCAGGCAAGAGCCCTATATCCTGTGCCCCGTCGGGCGCCTGCCACCATGTAGAGGCTAGCGACTGCATGTCGCTGTCGGTGCCTGGACTCCTGGGTCCCCCGCAGCCTGCAGCTCCGGCCCGCGGGGGCCACCGATGAGGTGAGCCCAAAGGACCTAACAACTAGAGATGGGGAGCAGCGGTTTGGGGGTTTGGGATGGGGAGGCGCTCATGAGAGGGGTTTGGGAGCTGGGGGGCGGGGTGAGGGGATTAAGGGTTTGGGGGCTCCAGTAGGGGGTAAAGGGGTGTCAAGGAAGCAGTGACAGAAGGAATTAGGGACTCCTTCGGGGCACGGATGGGAGGGTGGGGGTGGCGGTGGGTAGAGAATCTAGGAGGAGGCCCCCTGGGGTCAGAGAAAGGGATGGGGGATGGGGAAGTGATAGGGAGGGGTGAAGACGAAACCTTCCCCGACCACACCGGGAACTAGGAGGCAGAGATAGGGGGTCCAGGGGATCAAGGATGGGGTCCCGGGAAATGAGGGAGGGGTTGTCCCAGAGCCGCAGGGCTGGGGAAGGGAGGGAATTTGTAACTTGAAGCCCCCAGACGCCCCTGCCATTTGCGTACTAACCCCGTCATACCTGCTCCTCTCTGCCCCCACCCCCCATTTGTGCTGCCACTGCAGGTCCAGGATGGGGGCCAAGGCCCAGGCGGGTGGGAGAGGACGCAGCCCAGATCCCCTCCCGCCCCTGCCTCGGCCTCAGCCTCGGCCTCAGCTGCATCTCCCTCCGCATTAAGGACAGAATCAGAAATGTCGTTGCTCCCGATTGTCTCTTTTGGGGTTCCCTCCCCCCACTGTGCCCAGGCTCTGCCAGTGGGGCTGGAGCAGCTCTGGAAGAGGTTCCCCTCCACTTCAATTGGGCCTTAGGGAAGTCGGGTTGAGATAAAGTGACCTGGAATTGGGAAACTAAGCTGTACCCCCACTTTATAAGCAGGGTGACCTTCCCTTGGGACTGGGCGATGTTCCCCAAGGCCCAAGGATGTCTGTTATGTAACAGACAGGCAGGGCCACAGCCTTGTTACCGTGGTTACCAATGGGAGGGGGGGAACTGGGGCTGAGGAGAGAGACGGTAGAGGAGGCCTCTGGGGATGCAAGACCCAGGTCCTCCCACTATCCTCCCCCATCCTGGTCTCTAGGCCTTCCCTGTCTCATACCTGGGCTTCCCCTCCTTAACATTCCCCTGTCCCCAGCACCTATCTTCCCTGCCTCTCCCTCTGTCCTTTAACTGTGTCTTCATCCTCTGTCCTCTGCTTATGCCCCCCCCCCCTTGTTCCCTACCTACCCTATGTCCTTCTCTCTCCACATCCCCCCAGGCTCCCTGTCCTCCAGTCCCCTGTCTTCTAAACAGTGTGTCCTATTCCCCCCACCAATACCCTAACATCACAGCGTCTTTTACCTCTTGAGCCTGCATCAAGTGTTTCCTCCTCCAAGTACCTACCCTGCATATACACATCCACATCTCCCCACATATTCCCTTCCATATCCTGTCTCTCCCTCACCCACACCTGTCTCCTTCCTCTATTTTAACACCTCCTCCTGTCATACAGCTGACATCAAAGTCCTCTGAAATCTAGCACAGCCTTGAGCTTTTCAGTATTAGATTACCCACTCAAGCCATCCTGAAGCCAGATTGGATAGCTCTGTCCCTCAAAGCTCTCCTATGCTGTTCTGCCTTTGAGCATTTACTCATTCAATTCCCTTCAGTTGCCCAGGCTGGAATGGCCTCTTTCTCCCCCTGTCTCTGCCTTATTGAACCCTCTACTATCCTTTATAACCCAATTCAGTCAAATGCTATCTCTTCCAGGAAGCCTTTCCCAATCTGTCTGGTTGCTCATGACCTTTCTCTTGGATCTTAGAGACCCCTGGGTTTTTCCCCTCTCCAATATACTCAGGAGGCAGTTTAATGTAGTAGATTAAAGAGCTGACCTGGATTCAGGTCTCACCTCTGACATATACTGGGCAGTGTAACACATGGGCAAGTGATTTAATCCTGCTGAAACCTCTTTCCCCATCCCCTGTCACACTCTTAACTTTCCAAGGAGCAGTTCTGTATGGGTAGAGGGAGTTTGTTCCACCAATGAAATCACAGGTCTGGACCAAACAAAACAAAACAAAACACTTGTGTAATATATTGTAATATAATTGTATACTATAACTACATACTAGCCTGTGAGTCCCACAAGTACAGGGCATCTGTCTTACCTACATTTTGTATCTCCCCTAGCACCTAGAATCATAGAATCTTAAATTTAAGTTCAGAGCTAGGAGGAAATCATCTTGCCCAACCCCTTCATTTTACAGAAGAGGAAACTGAGGCCCAGACAGGTTAAATGACTTCCAGGTCAAATAATAATGGAACTAGAGTGTGAACTGGGGATTTCTGACTCCAGTTCCAGGACTGCTGTGCATACAGCACTCACTTAATATTTGTTGAACTAAGGAATGAAAGAATGAACAAATGAATGAAAAATACTCCTTTCCATTGTGTTGTCTAGTGTTATTCTTAGTCCTCTGTGATATGGGCCCTTCTACTATATCTTGTCTGTTCCCAAACCAAATCATCTTCCCCATCAAAGAGCAGTCCTTACCCCCATTCTTCCCCATGTCCGAGGTCTCTCCCTTCCAGTCTTTAACATTCTGTGAGTCTAGGATTCCATTCTTTTCACCCTCAAAGGTCCCTGGAGCTCTGACCCAGCTAGCCCCTCCACGCCTTTGAGGCCAGGCTTTCTTCCTTCAACCTCTGGGATCAGGAGACCTTACCTTACGCTCTGACCATCCCCCAATCCAATTCTTGAATGTGGAGCTGGGGTTCCACTACCCACCCACCCATCTCCACTGAAGTGAGGACAAGCAGAGAGGTTAGACAGTTGTGAGAATTTTCCTGATGTTTGTACTGTGGGTAAGGACTACTGAAGAATGGAATGGAGTCTGCCACCATTTTCCTGGCAGGATACTGTTTTTGAGGCAAGGACTCAAATTGAGCAAAGTGACTTCTGGCATTTCCTCCCTAACCAGAGATTTCTTGACTTTTTAAATCAGGCTATTCAGTTGTTTTTCTCGCACAGCCCAGCTCCTACACTCACTCCCCCATAGGATTGAGAAAGCATCCCCTGGAGCCTGGTATGAACAGTACTTCCTACAGGCTTGGACTCAATCCTTGATCCCTGGCCTGGAAATTCCTTCTGAGGCCTCCACTAAGACACCAAGTCTTAGCTAAGGCACCATCCATACTCATCACCTCTAACCTGGCTGGGACCATCTGTCTCCTCCTCCCCCCAGGGACTCAGAAACTCTGGGCTTTGAAACATACCCCACCACCAATTTTTTGTTGTAAAGAATGGTTCTGTAGGAACTGGGAAGGGAAGAGATATAGTGGGAGGCAGGGGAGAGGGGAGAGAGAGGGAGAGAGAGAGAGGGAGGGGGAGAGAGAGAGAGAGAGAGAGAAATAGGCACTGTAAAAACAAGATTTTTTAAAGTAACACAAGTTGAGATTTAGGTAAGGGCTTCCCTAACAAAGGAGGGTGATATAACAAGGTGCTAGTGGGCAGCAGGTAGTGGTGTGTGTGTATGTGTTTGAAAAGGATTGAACTCTTTCCTGCTCATTTTCCAAAAGGCTGGAGAGAAAAGGGAGAAGCTGTGGGGTGTGGGACTGGGGTGAGAGGCTATAAACCTCCATCAGGTAAGCCTCATTGCCTCAGCTCTCCCCAGGGTTAAGCTAGAATATTCATCAGGTTCTAAGCAACTTAAAGATCTAATAGAATTAAAAATCATAGAATCATAAAATGCCAGAACTCTTAGAAGGCCCTTAGAACATGGAACATAGAATGTCAGAGCTGGGAGGGCCCTTAGAACGTAGAATGAGGAATGTCAGAACCTGAAGGGACCTCAAAGACCAGTGGCAAATTAGAAAGAGTACTAGCTTGGGAATCAGGAGACCTAGCTTCTAGCCCTATCTTTGCCACTGACTTACTGCAGCACCTTAGACAGGGCACTTTCCCTCCCTAGTACTCAGGTTTCCTCATCCTGAAAATAAGACGATTGGACCACATGGCTTCTAACATCTTTTCCAGCCCTAGGTCCTATATCTAACAGGCCTTCCATTGCTGATAGCCTATGTTATTTGCCATTCTGACACTATACTTGAAGTCCCTTCTCGGTCTGACTAAGAGTCTCAGTAGAAGACCCCATGGTTTGTATCTTGTGTGGTACACAATCAGGTCCTCACCCCCAGTCCTCTCTTCCACCAGGACACACCATGCTGACCGGTGTGGCCGATGGCATCATGTGCTGCCTTCTGGGCTCCACAACCAATGCTGTGGGTCCCCTGGAAAGTGTTGAGTCCAGCGATGGCTACACTTTTGTGGAGGTAAAGCCAGGGAGAATCCTTCGGGTGAAGCATGTGTGCCCCCCGCCTGTGGGAGACCAGCCACCGGCGCCGTTGCAGCCAGAAGGGGAGCAGGGTGGGCTAGTTCACTGCAAGCGGCGCATCACCGTCTACCGCAATGGGCAGCTGGTGGTGGAGAACCTTGGCGATGTGCTTCGAGCTGACCTCCTGCAAGGGTACAATGGTATTGGTGAGCCCCCCTCCACCCTGGAGCTGGAGATGCCCGAACCTTCTTCCTCATTGGCAAATGGCCCGTCGGGGGAAGGGGCCCGCCCGGGCTCAGGGCCTGCTGGGCGTAGGCGGAGGACACGGCGTCCCAAGCGTACCATCGATATCGACTGTGAGAAGCGGGTCACCAGTTGCAAGGGTGCCCAGGCCGATGTGGTCCTCTTCTTCATCCATGGCGTGGGTGGCTCCCTGGCCATTTGGAAGGAGCAACTAGACTTCTTTGTTGGCCTGGGCTATGAGGTGGTGGCTCCAGACCTGGCAGGACACGGGGCCAGCTCTGCCCCCCAGGTGGCTGCTGCATATACTTTCTATGCTCTGGCTGAAGACATGCGAGCCATCTTTAAACGCTATGCCAAGAGGCGAAATGTGCTCATTGGGCACTCATATGGGTGAGGCGGAGGGGCGGCAGTGGGCGGGGAGGGCAGTGTCATGGGAGAGAGGGATGGAGGATACCTTAGTTCTAGTGCTTCTTCAGTCACTAATTTGTTGTGCAGCCTTGGACAAGTAGCCTCTCTGGGCCTTCCTTGACTTAAAATGAAAGGGGTCAAACTGTCTCTTCTAGGAAGGGCAGAGAGGGCAGTGAGAAGGGGCAGGATGAGAGTTCCTGGAGCAGGGGATCAAGAAGGAATCAGTCGTCCTCAGACCTCAGCCTATAACCGCTCTGAAGCCCAACCCTGAGTTAGACGGGGTGCTTCTCCCAGCCCGTGCCCCCTCCCCCAATTTCCACTGCTCCTTTGGGGCAGGGACTATTTTTTATTCCTCTCTCATCCCCAGCACTTAGCACACGTAGGTACTTAATTAATGATTATTGACTGACTAACATTAAGTGTCTGGCCCTTAAATGCTTGTTGATTGATTTAACTCTAACCTGAGGGGTTAGGTCAAATGGGGGGGGGGGGGGTTTGGGGGGAGGGTTTTTTATTGGAGTCACAGGGATTCAGCCTCTTCCTCAGTCTTGCTGAGCAGCCTACCTCTCCCCGCTGCTACAGGGTTTCCTTTTGCACATTCCTGGCCCACGAGTACCCGGAACTTGTTCATAAAGTGATCATGATCAATGGTGGTGGCCCCACAGCCCTGGAGCCAAGCCTTTGCTCCATCTTCAATATGCCTACCTGTGTTCTTCGATGCCTCTCGCCTTGTCTGGCCTGGAGCTTCCTCAAGTGAGACCTGGGGTCCACAATCTCTTTGGAAGGGGCTTCTGACTCTGATATTGGGGCTGGCATGATGCCCATGGGGTGGCTTTGGGAGGAATGTGTCTTTGACTTCAGGGATGGCATGATGCCCGTGGGGTGGCCCTGAAAGGGATGTATCCTGGCTTCAGGGCTGGCATGATGGCCAAGAAGTGGTTCAGGCCCAGATCCCCAAAATGATTTCTACCCCCTAACCCTTTACACCCACAGGGCTGGCTTTGCCCGCCAGGGGGCCAAGGAGAAACAGCTGCTGAAGGAAGGCAATGCCTTCAACGTTTCCTCCTTTGTGCTTCGGGCTATGATGAGTGGACAATACTGGCCAGAAGGTGATGAGGTCTACCATGCTGAGCTCACTGTACCTGTCTTGCTGGTGCATGGCATGCATGACAAATTCGTGCCTGTGGAAGAGGACCAGCGTATGGCAGAGGTATGGGGAAAGACGGGGGGCTGGCGCTGCTCTATCTCCCAGTCACCGATGGAGCAAGCTACAAAGGTCCCAGGAAATATCAGGCTTGGGGCTGGGGGCTGGATCTCATGGTGAGAATCCTGGGAGGCAGTGGAACCCAGAGAGGAGGGGATGGAGCTTTGGGAGGAGGGAATAGAATCCTGGATCTTTAGCTGATACTGGGTAAATGGACACAGGGATGAATAAGAAAAGAGAAAAGGATCCCTAATCAGACATTATGGGAGTCCAAAGGAAGGACTTCTTCAGTGAGAAGGTTAAGTTGCAGAATTTCCCCTCCGTGCCATCTCAGAGGGGCTGGGTAGTGCTTAGCTTTTGAGAGAACCTGACTCCCCTCAGGAAATGGTCACTTTGAGAGGCCTCCCCTGAGGCAAGGGGCTGGATGGAATGATTTCTGGCCTTGCCTCCTCCAGATCCTCCTCTTAGCTTTCCTGAAGCTCATTGATGAGGGTAGCCACATGGTGATGCTAGAGTGTCCAGAGACAGTCAACACCCTGCTCCATGAATTCCTTCTGTGGGAGCCAGAGGTCCTGGGGCCACCTGACCATCCTGATGCCAGTGCCACCGAGAAGAAATAAAGTGGATGGATGGACGGACAGACAGACCGATGGGGCGCTTTTCAAGAGGCTGGGAGCTGCAGGAGAAGGCGCCTTCCCTCAGGCCTCAGGGAGGGCCATGGTTGCCCTCCCTCCGGCTAATGGAGGGGGAGAGGAAAGCCACGATGAGGGGGTCCCTCCCCACCCAGGGATCGAGGCACCCGTGGAGGGCTGCCCAGTGGCATTCGGAGTTGTCCAGCAGGGCCAGACTGGCCACTGAAGGAGGGGGCTGAAGCCTCCCCCCAACCCCATCCCCCTTTCTTGCTTGTCTCCTTTGCGTACCCGTAGGCGCTATTTGGGGAGAGCGGTCCCCGAGGCAGACTGCCTGGGGAAAATCAGGGATAAATCCCTACCCTCCTGGGAGGGAGATGGGCCAGGTCTGGCTTTCTGGGAGGGTTTGACACCCACCCAGGCTGGCCAAAACAGCAAGGGGAGGGACCCTTCCCTTGCTCAGCTGTGGCCCCCAGCTACCCCCAGCAGGACTAGTTGTACCATCCCCACATTTCTAGGGAGCTGGAAATTACCCTCTCTATATTTAAGGACCTTGTACAGAAACTCACCTTCCTTCCATGTTGCAAACCCCACCCCCACCCCCCAATCCAGTGCTCAGTATTAAGGTCTCCTCCTTTGTCTCCCCAATGGGCATCTGTCTCGTGTATCTCTCTTTGCTGAGGACTGATTTCTAGAAGGTGAGACTTCTCTCTGTCATCAGCACTGCTGCTCCTGGGGAAGGAGCCTTCCTCCCTCCCTCCCCTCTGCCCCTCCCCCACCCCCATTTGACCAGGGACACCTATTCCCACCTGATGGGGCCCCTCCCAGCTGGAAAGCCCTTTTCAGCTTGAGAGAGGGGACTGCAGCCTGTGGAGGCAGGGATGGAAATGGGTGGGGGGTGGGAGAGACAGATATGGATTGTGCAGACCACGAGCTGTAGCCCAATAAATGTGACAATCAGCATCATCCATGGGCCTTGTGTGTTGTGAGCTGGGCTCATGGCATGGAACTTAAGCCCCCAAACCCAGGAACCTGCTTCTGGCAAGGCACCTTCTCAGAAACAGGTCTTTACATGCAGAAAATAAGACATGGGATTACAAAGGAAACCAATTAGATTGAAATAATTATCAAAATATTAAATTTTTTTTTTTTGAAGTTCACAGCCTGGGGCAGCTAGGTGGCACAGTGGCTAGAGCATTGGCCCTGGAGGCAGGAGGACCTGAGTTCAAATTCCCCCTCAGACACTTAGTAGCTGTGTGACCCGGGGCAAGTCACTTAAACCTGATTCCCCTCCCCCTCTCCCCCCACCAGAAAAAAAAAGGTGCACAGACCTCAGGTTAAGACCCCTGGTAGAAGGTTTAGCTTAAGTAGATGCTTCGAGGATTTGATGGAATATCCACTTCTGTGTGGGATCCTGTCGGAACAATCTGGATCCCAGAGCTTTGTCTACACGGACCTTGGCTTATGACATGACTCCCTCTCCCCTGGTCCCTAAGCCTTCTATCACAAGTCAGAATAGCCATTTGTAGGTCTGCTGATTCTCTAGGGGACAGGTTTGGAAGGAATGATGAAGTTCCAGAACAGGGGCAGCTAGGTGGCGCAGTGGATAGAGCACCGACCCTGAAGTCAGAAGGACCTGAGTTCAAATCCGGCCTCCAACCAAACACTTGCTGTGTGACCCTGGGCAAGTCACTTAACCCCAACTGCCTAAAAAAAACAAAGCAAAACAAAGCTCCAGAACTGGGACTAGCTGTGCGGCGTTAGGCAAATCACTGAGATTCAGGTTCTTCATGGAAGAAATCGTACCAGCTTCTGTAAATAGGGATAAAAAGGTGCTCAAGTGGGCTCGCAGTCTGGACTCTGAGTCGTGGCATTGTTATTTGATTTATAAGCTTCATCTTCTTGGGTGAGTCCCTTCTCCTTCCTGGGGCTCAGTTTTCTTACCTATAAAATGAAGTGGGTGGAGAGGATCCCTCCCGCCACTGGTATGCTAGGATTCTGTGACTAATATCTCCATCATCAATGTCACAAGACCTTGTTGAAAACCTTTTGGCCACTAACAGCACTAACATCTGGATGTACTGGGGCCTGTATCCCCAGAGCCAGGAATTGGGAGGGAAGACAGTAGCCAGGCCCCCATCCCCCTGGAAGAGACCTTTCGGCCCCACTGAAGTACAGGAGTGGCATTCCCACAGAAAAAGAGACACAGGACAGCTGAAGGGACATTGTGACTGGTCCGAGCTGCAGTTGGGGGCATAAGGCACAGAAATGAGGGCTGCTGAATCATCAGAGCTGACCACCTGTTGTAAGCTCAGCTCCTAGCAAAGCCTCGGATGGGTGGCTCCCAGTAGTTGGAGATGTAACTCAGAGCCGTTTCCTTGGAAGCTGTCAATACTGTCTTTCGTGGCTGGTCAATGTCTGGAGTGAATTGGGGTTCCTCAGGCCTGCACATCTGGGAGAGGCTGGAGCTGCTCAGGTGACACTCAGAGCCCAGTCTTCTTGTCTGAGGGCATGGATGTCTGATGGTCTCTCAGGCCTGTATCTCTGAGAGATGGAGCCATTCATGGCTCAGTTTCAACATCCAGAGCTTGATGCTGCCACTTAGGTACTCACTTGGATGTCCGGGGGCCGAAGCTGCCTCTCTCCCTCTGCCAGGAAGATGCCCAAAGCCCGGTGCAACAGGTGTACACCCAGCCGTCTGCGCCGATGAGGTGGCCATCTTGCTACGGCACCATAGTAGTGGCCTTTCTTCTGATTGGAGAGCACCTGCATCCCTGGGGAGATAAAGAGACCCTCATTCATACAGAGGGAACTTGTCCCACTCCAGTGGAAAGTCTGGGGTCTTCCCCAGGGAAGGGGGCTTGTGGGGCAGGGCCAATCCTATATGCTGCCCTGACTGGCACACACCAAGGGCATCCACGAGGCACGCCTCCCTTGTATAGGCTTCTACTGCAATGACGTTTTGGAAGCAGTGCAGGGAGACCACACCGTGGCCACTTGCCCAAATGTCCAGGATGCGCTGCACCTTGGGGCAAGTCTATGGGGAGAGAGACTCGGTTGCAGATCCATCAATTTAGTCCTACTCCAGGCCCCTCCACTTGCCCTCTTGCAGTCCCAGCACCTGCTTTTGCCTGTTCCGTTGATGGCGCAGGGCCTCGGAGAGGTGGGAGTATGGCCGAGCCCGAGTGCCCTTACCCACGTAGAAGATGGCATGAGTAAAGGTCTGGAAGCATTCAGCTGGGCTCAAGATGTGGCATCGGGAGGGCAGGTTCTGGGTCACCCTGGGGTAAAGACAAATGTCCCCACAACAGAGATGATACCCATGGTGCCAATCTATCCCACACTTTTCCTCGATTACCTGTTGGTGCCCAATTCATCATCCCCTGATCAATGTCCAAACCCCCTTCACTCCAACACCACCACTGCCCTGATTAGTGACCATTAAGTGACCATCCATTAAGGCCTGGGAGCCACCTTTCTATGTTTTTAACAGTTCTCATTTTAAATGTTGAATTTTTTTCTCAGATTAATTTTTGCCACGAACTTTTTCCAATCTATGTTCTTTTCATTTTGATCACATTTCTTTTTGTTGTACAGAATATTAACATTTTAAATCAAGGCATTTATCTCATCCCTAATGATTCCTTCTATTTTCTTTTTGGTGGGAGTGGGGGGGGGGTGGTGGTGAGGCAATTGGAGTTAAGTGACTTGCCCAGAGTCGTACAGCTAGCAAGTGTTATGTTGTCTGAGGCTGGATTTGATCTCAGGTCCTCCTGACTCCAGGGCAGTGCTCTATCCATGGCACATGATTCCTTGTATTTAAGAGGGAAAAAATTATCTCCCTTCTACAATTAAGATAAGCACATTGTTCCATTTCCTTCCATCTTTTTTTTTTTTTTTGATGAAGCATTTGGGGTTAAGTGACTTGCCCAGGGTCACACAGCTAGTAAGTGTCATGTGTCTGAGACTGGATTTAAACTCATGTCCTTATGACTTGAAGACCAGAGCTCTATCCACTGAGCCACCTACCTGCCCCCTCCATCTTTTTTTTGCTAGTTCTTTCTTATGTTTACGTCTATCATAAAGCTGTAATTCACTGGGTTTTATGGTGCAGGATGCAGATCTAACTCTTTTCCCAGCAAGCTGCTAATCCATTTACCTTTAAAAAAAAATGCTTTGCTAATGGGTTTTTTCATATCCTTGCCACTTACGAATGACTGTCTCATCCCCACAGAACTCTCTTCTAACAAACCAACCAGTTTTCCCACGTCCATTTGTAAATAACGAAGGTTTCTCCAATTCCTTTTTTCCCCTTTGTAAAATGAACATTTATCCTTTGCCTGTATTTTATTAGGTCTGAATTGGGCTAGATGGCCTTTGAGAGCCCGACTGTGTGAATGCCAGAGCTGGAAGGATCTGTAGAGTATAGACTACAGGATGTCAGAGCTGGGAGGGCCCTTAGAACACAGAAAGTCAGAGCTG